ACAATTTATACGCGGAAAAACACGGTTTTTCGCTATTATACGGCCGGCGAGAAAAATTTGTCGAGTCTACTGAATTTTTTGTTTCATCAAAAAATGACGTTTGTTGGCAAAACAAAAATTTCAATAGGCTTTGCAAATTTTTCTTGCTGGCCATGATGTAGTAGCTAATATCATTAATGCAAAATTAATATTGCACACGCGTATTAAACTGAGACAAGTTTTGGATAAATTTGAATTTTCATAAGTTTAGCTTTGCAAACCCGTAATAATTTCACAAATGTGTTCTCGAAACGAAATTTTACCGGAGAATAATGACGGAATTTTCACAGAACTGACTCGCGACTATTGTCTTCGCGTCATTTTCAATTGCGCCTAATTGACTCGATGTTGTTTCGCATCCGCGTTAAAATCACGAACGCATTAACACGGCGCAATAATTTTCCCCGCTTAATTGTCGTCCCGACGCACGGCTCGTGCCTCTCCGCTGATATTTTATCTAAGCCATATAACGGGAGGCGCGCCGATTAAGTCCGATTCGTCGCGGTCGATTTGCAAAGCCTCAGCTATATCGCGAGAACACGCGGGCTCTCTCACGAACCTTTTACTTTGCACCGGGGTGCAGCGTATAATCGTTCGATAATATCGAGACTCGTGGCTCGTGCCACGGGACCGATTAGAATTCTTAATGGCTCGCATAAAAGCACGACGCGACGGGCGTCGTCTCTTGATCAATTTTTGCGCCGAGATGACAAATAATTTTCCCCAGACATTTCCCCGACGACTTTTTGCGCGCGATTTAATTGATTCTCGCGCGCGAAAATATATTTAATTGTACAATTTTGTCTCATCAACGCAATGTCATTTCACTTTATATATTTTACTTCTTAGAATTTCTTTTATGAGAATTTTTCTTTTTTTTTTTTATTTAAATCTCGTATAATTCAATTCGCGCGTCGGCCTGGAATATATTGCATCGCGTCGTCTCTGTAGACTCGCGAAGCGCACTTGACCGGATTAGAGGCTCGAGTCCCGCGCGCGCGCGCGGGATGGAAAACTGCGGGAACAGCTGAATTGGAGTTCCGCTTTCACGCGGTCGGTGAAAAATAACTCTATCAACGTCCCGCAAAAGATTCCGCCGGCGTTATGAAAAGGTCCCGCCAGTGGACCTACGAGTGCGTTATCGGATAGTAGCGGGATCGTATGCGGCGCCGTGTGTACGTACGTGTGCACCCCTCCCCTCTTCCCCTGTGTGGCGCGCGAGGGTGTGTTTGCGCGCGTGTTATATCGCGCTCTCGCCGGTTACGGGGCAACGTAGGGACAAGAGAGGCGATATATAATGTTCCGCGATATTAAACGGGACGCATTCCACCGAAGCCACCCTCTGGTCCCTGCTATGAATGCTTCTACGACCCCCGTCTCTCTCGTCTCGCTCCCTCCGTCTCGACCTCTCCGAAAAGCAGGAAGGACGAAGGAAAGAGAAAGAGAGAGAGAGAGAGTGAGATAGATAGATAGATAGGTAGATAGAGGACAGATCTGGCCTACTCGAGCCACCCCCGAATGGTTATACGCCAAATTTACAGCTTAGCCAGTGCCACTATCACTACCGCCCACGAACGCGGGCATTTATTACCCTCCATGTGGAGATTCGTGCAGCTGATACACGCGTCCGTATATATCGCTCAAGGATAAAGCAAACGAGGACGTTATGTATCTCGTCTCTCCTTCGGCGTGATGTTTCCGATGACAAATTTGTTCTTCGAAAGATCAGTCACAGTCGAAGACGAGAGTCGCGCGTTCGTTAATTTCTTCGCGGACTTCGCGATATTCTTTATTTCTGTGAGAAAAAACCTCATGGGATGTTTTCATCTCACAATTGTTAAACAATAAGAAAGAGAAGTTTTGCTTGCGCGATAAAATAATTTCGCGCGTTTTAACCTGTAAAGTCACGCGATATTTCCGGTGTTCGCTTGCGCGCGCGATGTATGTAGCGAGAAACTAAACTTCCAAAGACGCGTTGAAAGATGGACTTGGTCTTGATCTCATTGTCGCGCATGTCCGCGGCATTCCGAAACGTCCACTTCTGTTCTCTCGAAAGTTTCTTCATTCGTCGCATTGTCGCAACCTCTCGCCGCGCGCTTTGCATCGCCCATGATTCTCATTTCAGCAGAATCTCCGCCGAGATCCAGTAATTCAATAGTCTAAAGAGTTTGAATTGGTATTATAAAGTAAATAGCGCGCGCGCGGAAAGTAATACAGTTGAATTAAAACAACTTGTTGTTCGAATAAAATCTCCGTAGTCTCGTGTAACAAAGTTAAGTTAAATAGTTTCTAATGTTTTTAGTTTAAGTAGTTTAGTTTAGATATTTTCTTACGTTTCCAATTAATACACTCGAAGGAAGAACTATCTTGAAATAAACACCGTTTTATTTTATTCAAGATTATTTATTTATTTGGTCGATAGTAATGACTTTATTTGTATATTCGAAACGTTTATTTTCTTAATTTAAATGTTTATTACACTGGGAATATGTATATCAAGAATACATAAATTTTTAATTATTTTTATAGTCTAATTTTATAAAATATTTACTAAACCTGTATTTTTAATTAGAATAAAAAATTTTTGAAGTTTTGAAAAACCAATATGCAACATAATATCAATTACTAAATAATATAATATCAAGTTTCAAAGTATCATATTAATTAATAAATAATAGTATATTTTATGAAAGAGTAATTGGAACGTAGAAAATATAGAGGGATAAATTACTGAATTAGTGCATTAATATGCATATAGTTTATTTAAAGGTAATGAAATAATAATTTGTTTAGATAATCCCTTCTATCAGAAGCAAAAAGAGAGAGAAAGAGTTTTAAGAAAATATATTTACTTGATTTATATAACTTTTTTCTCGGTGTATAGCAAAGGTATTTAAAAATGAGGGCATTATGCGTTTCAATGTAGAAATGAAAAAAAAAACCGTCAATGTAGCGCGGAATTAAGCGTTTTATATGCAGCTCGCAAACCGAAACCATTCGCTGAGAATCCGACCTATTCGACCGACGTGCGCGTGCTTACCCCTCTTCGTCCACTTCGCGGTCCGAAAATTTGCCGCGCGACTCGATCATTACTCAACGAGGCCCCGGGAAATCTAGCAGCGTAATATCTGGCACCGGGGCGGCCTGCGGATAATAGAGAAGGACGCGCACACGTCCGCGATCTCTCCCGTCCGCGAGATCGTAGTAGTGGCCAGGACATTCCGAGGTTTCGCCGGTTAGAGGCGCGTCTCCCACTCCAAGTTCCTGCACCCTATCACGGTTGGTCTGTGATCGTACCCTATCCTTCATCCGCACATTTCCATCCCTTGCGGAACCTCCGCAACTTCCCTCTCTCTCTCTCTCTCTCTCGTCGGAGAGAACGCCGAATGCAAGCATACGTCATCCGCCATGATCTATGTCTTCTGCCGTCCCGGCAATGCGCACTCGACCCAGCACGTGCGAGTACGCAACCGCACCTCGCGTCTCTATTAAGCCGCCGCTCATTTTCCGGCTGCATACTGCACTCGCGTGGGCTCACGGCGAGCGTGTTTCACCGTTAACCGCGCGACCGTTCGTCGTATGATTGCGGGTCGCTCGCGAGAAACGCGCGCACATAGGTACACGCCGAGAATTAAAGCGCGCGGGGGATATCGTACCGCGGATAGTGTCCTTTATTTGCGAACCGAGCGAGAATTTACCTGATAAGGGGTTGACAATACGTTCTAAGAGATTTATGTGTAAAATGAATAATATTATGTAGAGAAAAATTAAATACCTTTTTCTCAGCGTACGATTTCTTCACAAGATATCGACTAATTATTGTTTTTCGTAAGAAGAAATTAAATAATCAGCCAAATGTCCCGACAATTTTCAGCCGCATCGGTCGACCGGACTCGATCGACAGTTCCTCGATCTTCTCCCTTGAACCTTTTTCCCGAATTCATAAAGTGGCGCGCGTAACGCGAATATCTGCGTGTAATTAACAATTATTATTCGTCCCATCTTGAATCCTGAATGCCGTGGAATTACCGCACACGCACACACACACATAACGCAACCGCAAATGATTCTCCGATGAATTTCGTCATCGCGACGAACATGCACCACGGTGGTGGTGGCAAGGGTTAGACGGGGGAGAGGTGAGGAGGGGTACAGGAAGAGAGGAAGGGGACTACGCGCTCGGGGCTTTCGGCCCGAGGGGGTGGTTGTTGCTACGGATCCGGGATTTGCACCGCCACCGGCGGTACGAACCCGTCCCGGGGGTAGGGGTCTCTTCCGGGGGCTTAACATACACACTCCACCCCCGGTAGGCGGAGTGTACCGCCTACGAACTACCCCCACCCGCCGCTGTGGCACTGATACGCGATATCAGCGAACACTTGTTGCTCCGATGAGCGTCAGAACAACGGCGGTCTTCGCTACCCCTCTCTCTCCCTCTCTCTCTCTCTCTCTCTGTCGTTTTACCTCCTCGCGGCCGCGATTTTTCACATGCTGATTTTTTTTTCCTACCACCTCATTTCTCCTCGCGCGCATTCCCTCTTTTGTGTGTGTGTGTGTGTGTACCCCTCGCGACTATAATCTGATGGCATAATATTCCGCCGTCGAAAACGAGCGCGCGGCATAACGACCGACGGAATTAATTCTTGTTGTTCCGCAGCGAACGTCGTTAGAAACGATATAACGCACGTGAAATTGGGAATATGCGCGCGGAATATTCTCGAGGGCGTTACACAATAGAAACGAACTGCAGGCAGTTAAAAACACTCTCATAACTTTTTCATTATATGCACCTTATCAATGCTTCTCATTTATTTTCTCAATCCCGTCTAAGAAAACAAATTCTCGAGAAAATGTTTTTCCAAGATCAAAATAAACGCTCATCATCATAAACATTTGCTTGGTGGAGAATTTTTATGAGAAAAAATTGTGATAAACCAAAAATGTGTCTCGTTTTGTTGCAGGCAGTGCGGTGGCTGCAGCCGACACCATTTCCGCGCCGTGGACCCCTGCGAGTTCCGGGCCGCCGCCCGACGCCAACGGCTCCGGCTCGGATACGAAGAACCTCGACGTTGGCGAAATTAGCGATGTAAGTTAACCGTGCCGTCGCCAATTAAGAACCGACCTAGAGCGCCGGTTGGTCGCGACGGTGGTCGTGCCATTTTTATTTCAATTAAATCGCCGTGACCTGAGGGACGAGCTTTTCCAGCTCGCCTCTCGGTCGCGGATTGGAAAAAAAAAAAAAGAGAAGCAGAGCTCTTAACTTTATGCAAATAAAACGAGATTAGTCACTATCCGCTCGGAGTATATTTCGCGCGGAGATTTAAATCGTTTGAATGACGAATATTAAATTATTTCATTTTACAATTTTTTGCCTCGCGGTAATTGAAACTTTTTCTAAAAAAAAAAGAAAACTTGGCAATAAAAAGTTTTTCTTAATTTTTCTTAAAAAAAAATTGTAATATCACAGCTCTCATTATTTTACTTCGTGTTATATTCGTTTTTATTATTATTATTATTTTTATTAGACGCGCACGCGTGTAATGTGTGCGTCCGTGAATTATTTCTAATTATTTTAATTACTTATTCGCTCGGTTGTAGTCGTCTCGAGAGAAACCGGTGTGCTTCTTCTCTCTCGCTCGGTTCTCTTTCTCCTTAAGCCTCGTCGAATCTCATTTCGCGCTTTGAGCGAGCACAATCGTCGCTCTACGTGTCCGGACGAAACGCATCTGAAACGAATGATCGGTTATTATTAATCGTCGCGTCCGTTTCCGAGTCACGAGCACGTACTCGTCGTCCGCAAGCACCATCCCCGATTGGTCTCAGCGTCTTATCGAGAGCGCCGCTCTCGTTTGAATGACGGTAAGTCATCGCGTAAATCACTCGCAACTCCCAGTGATTCGCGTTTCTCTCCGACCGGAAAGATCCGCGTTCGCGCGTGAAATAAATAAATAGAACGAAAATAAATATATATTTGCATTTTTTTTTTTTTTTTTTTTTTTTTTTTTTGGAAAATCGTTATTGGGCACGAATGCAGGAGAAGAGTGAGTGCCGCCGGGCACGCGAGTATAGGAACACCTGGCCGGATGCCGAAGACTCGGTAACATCAGCTCTCGTTGCATTAATATGACNAATGACGGTAAGTCATCGCGTAAATCACTCGCAACTCCCAGTGATTCGCGTTTCTCTCCGACCGGAAAGATCCGCGTTCGCGCGTGAAATAAATATATTGAATGAAATTTTTTTTATATTTGCTTTTTTTTTTTTTTTTTTTTTTTTTTTTTTTTCAAAATCGTTATTGAGCACGGATGCTGGAGAAGAGTGAGTGCCGCCGGGCACGCGAGTATAGGAACACCTGGCCGGATGCCGAAGACTCGGTAACATCAGCTCTCGTTGCATTAATATGACCTTAATGATCACTCGCGTACATCCTATTCGCGATACAATCCGATCCACTTGCGAGAAATTAAAAGGTCGCTGCAATTTATTTATTTATTTATTTTTTTTTATTACTATTTTGATGTCAAGTAACTGTCGTAATTATCAGTTTCGAGTTCTCTCAAAGAAATAAAACCTTACCGTCTCAAAATTGTTGTTATTTATTTATTTTTTTTCAAAATTAATGCGCTATTGTGTGATATTTTGCGCAATATATACGACGCTCGCAAAAAGTTAACCTCTCCGCGCTGTTGTGACGTAACTGAATTCGCGCGACGTTAAATTTGTGGAAGAAAGTAGCTTTTTATAAGCGGACGAATTATGCGGCATTAAAGTTACAGTAGGTCTCTCTCTCCGCGGACTTTCAGTTAAGGATTAATTCGCGCGCTCCGCGCGGCGCGGTTGTGTTTTTAATTTATTTGCATATATTCCCACTGTAGAGCCAAACAGCATCATGAATACTAAAATCATGAAAATTCGCGGGAATTACTTGAGCGTTAATTTGTTAACTTTGGCACATGCAAATTGGGTTTATTCGGGTCGGACGTGTTAAACAAACTTCAAAAAGCTGGACGTCGCACCTTACAATTTAATTTTCTGCCCTTTCCCCTCGTCTCTCTCTCTTAGCAACTTCTCCGAAGACATTTGATACATTTTTTATTATCTTTTGCTTGTTTTTTTTTTTTTTTTGTTTTTTTTTATTTGTCAGAATATAAAAAACGTATTTTTGATCGATTTTCGCGATAGGTTTCAGCGATTTACCAAAATATCGTCGATCCGCACGACAGATCAAAGCGCGCGAGATCAAATCGACGACTTTTTTGCGCCATCCGAGAAGAGTCTTCTTCTCTTCCGTTCTGGATTGCGTGCTCGACGATATTATATCGAACGTGGCGAACGTGAGCGGGGTTCTCGGAAGGGACAAGCCCGTTTCCTCGCACTCTTTCCGCGCTTCTCGGTACTTAAACGCCCGATAATCGTTCGTTTCTCGACTCTCGTGCGGCACGGAAGCTCCGCGATTCGTTGAAATTCCAGTTCCCGAGAGCGGCTACTATCGTAGTGGAGTTTCTGTGTATCACATATTCGCGCGACGTCGTCCTCCTTTCATTTCATGCTGTAAGGGAGACGCCTCTCCCTTCCCCCCTTCCTTCTCCCCGTCTGAAAGGGCGCAAAATTCGACGCGACAAACGCGCGGAAACGAAAAACGAAGAAGAAGCGACAACGGGACGCGTGACCATCCCCTCGATTTGGCGAGAGAGAAAATCGAAGGTCCACACTCACTCGAGTCCACGTTCCAGGCGTGGCTTTTGCAGCTCCCGAAGATTCTTTGTTTCTGTAGAAGGGAATATAAGGTAGCTCTCGGTCCGAGGTCCGAAGCCACGTTCGCCGATCGACGCGGTAGATAAATCTCGCGCGCGAGAGCGGTCAGCGCGCGGCGGGAATCGGAGATAAATGAACTTCTCGTGTCGAACGTGCCGGGGTCGTCCAAGTGCATCGGAGAGACGCACACACTCTCTCTCTCCCGCAAACGAAACTCAATCGTGACGAACGTGACGAATGTTCGCACGAAAATCACAAGGGGCAACTTCGAAACTTTAGAGAACAAAGACTGGATACCGATGAGCGATAAGGAGCTTCGAAATCAATTGTATATATTCGGTTCTATTGATTTGACATTTCGTGACATTTTAATATAGAGACAATCAAGAGTTCCTTTATATCTTATATTTATCAGCTTGAGATAGCACCAGTATATTTTTCGATGATTCGTAAAAGAGTTTTATATTTTAAAGAAATATATTGCAAGGTTTAAAAAATAGTTCGGGGGACGAGAGAGATAAGGATTTTTTTCACCGAGATTCAATTGTTTAAAGATTGAAAGAAAATTATTTTGGCCACTGCAACACCCAGTGTGCTGTTTGTGCAAAATATATTTTTTTATTTATTTAAGCGCGCAAATTAATACACGTAATAATTTGAAAATTCTAAAACGCTTGATCTGCATCACACACACACACACGTATAGATAAAAATTTCCAACTCTTCCCTCACGGAAATTTAAACAATTCATTGCAAAAAATACATCTTGGCCAGACGTCAAACGCGAATCTCTCGAATTCAATTTGAATTATTGTGTTTATTAGTTCACACACAATTAAATAAATAAAAATTATTTATTTGCGCGAACAGCAAGCTCACGTTGAGCCAAACAAATCGTCGCTAGTTCGATATACTACGACGAGCTTAAATTTGTTGAAAATTACTTTGTTTTATTTTTATTTATTTTTTCGCAGAAAGCTGAAAGTTTTATTTGAAAGTTGAGAGCGCATGTGACTATGAATGACTTGTCGCAATTAGAATCCGTCTTTTCCAGACCGCGCTAGATAATACCAACCCGTATTTTCCAGGACGAGAAGGAGCTGTCGGGAGCGGACGCGGAGGGTGTGTGGTCGCCGGATATCGAACAGAGCTTCCAGGAAGCTCTTACCATATATCCGCCATGCGGTCGACGCAAAATCATCCTTTCCGACGAAGGGAAGATGTACGGTGAGTTGCGCCACTTCTTACGCCACGTTCGTTCCCTTTCGCGCGTATATGAAGAAAAAGCGCTCTTTTATTATCGCTTTAAGATTTCATAAATTTTCACGTGCGTGTCCGCGTCGTTTGCAATACAACAATCTCTCTAGCATCATTATTTAATAATATCGACTTGTTACAAAGTCGACACGCAATATGAAAAGGCTTATAATTTTTTTTCCCCCTTTGAACCGTCTTGGAATAAAAAATACGCGGGAAATGCAAAGAAAAAACGCAGTTATCTTTGATGTACGTCAAATAGCAAAAGCGATTACGTTAATTTGTTGAAGCAATTTACTTCTGAGACTTTTGCAATCAATAGCTGGGGAAAAAAATAAAGTAATTTGTAATTCATTTGATAAAATCAAAATACGCAATTACTTCAAATTCGCTTCTCCATCAACGGAGAGACTTGCGCGTCTGTCTCGCGTTGAGGTAAAAATCACTTGAAAAGAACGCTGTTCGCGACAGCAACTTCCCGCTCTTACTCTACGTACGCGACGACGACGTCGCCAGCGGCGGCGGCGGCGGTGGCGGCGGCGGCGGCGGCGAAACGTCCAGACGGGCGTCGTTATTGCTCCGGTGCTGAGGTCAGTCTACGTGACTGACCAGATATTGCTTGCTACGAGACCGGCGGTACCACCGTGGCCACCGCCGTAAACCACCACCACCATTAACCGCCATGAACTCGCCACCGGAGCAATAACGCCTCGCGGGAGAGGATATTCGCCTCTCCGTTCCCGGCATGAACCTCCACTTTGTGCTCTCTTCGCGCGTCTTTTGTATTAAATCTCTTTTGTGAGAGAGAGAAAGAGAGAGAGAGAGAGAGGGGGGGAGAGAGAAAGAGGGACACAAATTTGCTGTCAAGTACCTTTCGCTCCCTTTATGGAAAACGATAATAAATTGCCAGCGGAAGGTGCGACAGGAAGAAGGGAGAAAAGAGAAAGAGAGGGCACGATGTTAGATGATATTTGAACAATGAGCGCGAATTTGTTTACACGCGGTCGGCGATGCCGAGTCTCAACTCTGAGGGTGATGATAAATAACACGACGTGTAATTGTTAATCCCGCGACAGTTTTGCGTGCAATATCAATTCACAGTCACGAAGTGTCGCTTTTATTTCGACAAAAGGAAGAGTCTTTTTCTTGCTTCTTTTTTCGTCTTGTAAAAAGCGTCGCCTTTTCGCGTCGTCGCGACGGTGATTTCTTTTTTTTTTTTTTTTTTTTTTTTTTACCCCAATAAAACCGGAGAGACGTTCCGGGCTTTCTTTTGCGGCAAATTGAACGTATTTCGTCGTACAATATTTATTGACACGCAATACGACTTGTTACTTTGCAGAACAAGAGCCTGAGGATTATTTTTGAAATTGATTTTACCCCCCGCACCCTCGCTCTCTCTCTCTCTCTCTCTCTCTCTCTCTCCACGTCGGGTGTGTTGCGAATGCATCACCCGGAACGGTTTGCCACTTTTCTTCCATTCTTGCGTCTTCACTGAGCGAATTTTCCGGTGTTGCCGTTCGACAGGACGTAGGACGTAGACTGCGTTCGCGTGAATCCCATTCGTTAAGGCACAATGTCGCTTAATTTCCGAAAGCACTTGGCGCGAAAAGCCAAGCGGGTGGCAATTCAATCGCGGCGCGCGCGCTCTCTTTCTCTCTCTCTCTATGAAAATGGAGCTTAATTCAGACACTTCTCTGTGTCTACGGTACTGTGTGCTGTGTCGCGCGACGGGTTGAAAACGGCAACAACGACGACGACGACGTCGGCGACAATGACGTCGTCGAACGCTGCGTCGCGTCGTCATCTCGTTCTTATCCTTGTTTTGATTCGCGAGAGTATTCTCGCGAGAGGAATTATGCACGTGAAAATGTTAATAGTCGCTCGATGACGTTTCTGTTTCAAGACTTGTAACGAGAAAGCGCAAAAATAAAGAGATTCAACGGTGGAACAAATAAAAATAAAACAATTTTAAAAACGCATCAACATTTTGATACAAAAATACGTTCACGCACGTGATTTGTATAAATAGAAGACATCGAAGATGCTCTTCCTCGAGACATCTAATTAATTCGTGACGATAGAAGACGAGCGCGACTTTCGGGGGCGAGCAAAGTCGCGCGGGGTGTCTCAATTGAGAAAATCGCTCTTACTCCATCCCGTCGTCGTGTCATTATCGGGAAGTCAGGCGAAGTCGCGCTCTTCAGGACACAGTTTACTCCCCCGATAATTTCCCCCTGGCATTGAAGAATGCGAAAGTCGGCGATTCTTCGCGTAGATGGCGAGAAAGAGAAAGACAGACGGAAAGAGAGAGAGAGAGAGAGAAAGAGAGAAAGGAGTGGGAAACGCGCGCGCGACGCAATATACGATCGATCCTTCGACGTCACGAAAGACGAAGGAGCGTCGTCGTCGTCGTCGACGTCGTCGACGTCGCCGCCGCCGCTGCTGCCGCTGCCGCTGCCGCTGCTTTCGACGAGATGCAGTCGACCGTCCACCGGATGGAAACAAAGGATAACGAGGCGCGAAAATCGCTTAACGCGATTGGCCATCGATCCGACGACGGGAAACTTATCTCGCCTGTCGTTGCTCACTCGCCGAGCCAATAAAGGAGAGATCCCTCGGCCTTTCCGCGGGATTAAATATCTCGAGGCAATTTACCTTCTCTTTCGATCTCTCTCTCTCTCTCTTCTCCCCTTCCCGCACCTTTCCCGCCTCCGCTCATTCCATTTCTTCTTCCTTGGCCCTCTTTCTCCCTCAACCCTTATATAGGCGCCGACGCCCACACACCGGCGATTTCACCGCACAGCGAAAAAAAAAAAAACGATCGTCTCTCGTTCGTTTCTCGCGCGATACGAGAAAGAATCTTCTTCTGTTGTGAAACTTGAAATTTTATCGAGCGCGACGCTCCATCGATATCTAATAGTACGCGATATTCGCATATAATGAGAAAGCGAATGCCTGCCGTAATTGGACGTGATCAGTAGAGGTAACGCGCTAATCGCGATACGCGGTTGAATTGATTATTATTTATATTGACGCGTTATGGTAAAATCGCTTAAAAAACGGATTTGATTCACTTTTTCGCGCGAGAAAATATTGTTGAATAATATTGCAAAAAAAAAAAAAAAAAAGAAACGCGCGATTTTACCTCCCCGTGTGTGTAATTGCATCGCCGTTTAACGTTTCTGAAGAACTGACCGAATTCCGCTCTCGTTCCGTCTCATAAACTTATCGCGCGCCTCTCACAAAAGAATCGCGCGCGCGCGCGACTACTTACGAGATTGCCGCGCCGTGTGATACATGTACCCTGGCCGAGCGGGTCTTTTTCGAAAAATCTCTCGAGCTCGTCGCCCCGAGGCCGATGAACGGCAACTTTTTGCGAGCGCAGTCGATAGTCCACGAACAATGTCAAAGTGGACTTCCTGTGTGTGTCGGAGCTGCGAAACTGGGAAGAAAGAGAGTGGAAGAGGAGGAGAAGGAAGGGAGGAAGAGGTTCGATATTCTTTGTGGCTGTTTCGCCAAGGTGGAAAAAGAAGCTCTCTCTCTCTCTCTCTCTTTCTCTCTCTTCGCTGTCCGCTCCTTCGTCCAAGCGGAAAGAAACCGCACCGTCCCTTCCCACGAAGGACCCCTGGTCCTTCGTCCTTACGTCCGCGGCATCCAATAAACCGGCAGAAATAAAAGGATCGCAGAGAGCTTCGGAGAGCGAGAACGTTTAGAGGAGCGTTTAGGTTCTTGCTTATACACCGAAAAAAGAAAAACTGCTACACCGCCGCCGCCGCCACCGCCGCCGTTGCTGCGGTCTCCCGGAACACCTTCTTTCCCGAGCGGCCGGTGTAACTCTCCTCTCCCGTGGGTCAATGTTCCGGAACGAACTCCGTTATAAATATAGTTTCTTGCAAATTTCCTCGTCCCTTGCTCGCCCGCTGGCGTTTACCAAGTAATATTATATACGACCGTCGGGACACGTACGCCCGCTGCCCGGGAGCGAGAGACTTCCGAATAGATTTTCCGACTTATCGCTCGGTCTCACCGGGACAAACTCGCTGGTTATATATATATATCGACGTATAAACATCCGATTACTCATTTCCGTGCGCTAATCGGGAATAAGATAAAGAGACAGAAAAGAGATAAGATACCAATTGTGATTGAATTTGGTGACGTTTGAGCAACGAGATAAAATATTATCTCTTCGGTGATTAACGTGCGTTTAAAATCGTCGTCGTTCAATGGCCTTCCTCCTTCTCGTCTTCCTCGATACCCGCGAGGAAGAACGAGCGACTGAATGGAGAAGGGAACAGGTAGCGTGTGGCGCTCGAACCGCACAGGTCCGCGCGTCGCTCCGGGCTCGTATTTAAACAGATAAATCGACAGCGGCTCTAACCTGCTCTTTCCCGGCAGCCGCTTAAGTAATCTGCGCGATAAATCTCGATCGGTTCTCTCGTCCTTCCGAATAGAAGGAATCGTCGGGGGAAGACATTTGCGTCAAATTATACTCAGCCGTAATAAACAAAACGCATTTAGAAGACAAAACAATTTGATGGCAATATCTTTGACAAAAAATTCCAGCCTGATTGGAATCTTCTCACGTATATTTGTTGGAGATCAAAATTTGTTCTCGGGGTTCACTTGGTTCTCGCACTTGGTGTGGCACTTTTTCGGAATTTGTACTTCGAAGGAAAAGAAGCGCGTCCCTCGCGGCGCATATCGCGCGCCTTGGATTATGTCCCGCGCGCGCAGTACGAGTGTCTCTAGCGTGAAATACAAAGGGTCACATCTCCTCGCGGTTCGACGACGACGACGACGACGCGGAGGGAAACGTGCGAGGATACAACGGTGCGCTCCCTCGGCATTTATCTGATCGCTAATAACACGTAGAGACGTCCGTTACGGCGGGGAACACGCTCTCTCACGAGCACGTATTCTCGCGCTCCGAGCCTTATGGGGCCGAGAGCGGTACGTGATGCCGTTGT